GGAAACGACTCTTCCTATTTTTTTTTTTTTTTTTGTCGAGTTACTGTCGCGCGGCAAAGCTTGAAACTTGTCGCTATGTGAAGGGATAGCCATGGTGGTGGTGAATAGAAACAGAAGAAGAGAGAGGAAGAGGAGAGTGCGGAGCAGTCTCGGGTAATATAATCAGTCGATCTGATCGAAAAATAATAACCGCGTCTGCCGTCGGTCTGACTGTCGGTGATTGAAATTTCTCTCCCCTGGCTTCTCTGCGCCAACCCCGTCATAGTTGTGCGCTACCGTCCTCTTTCGTTCAACGAATTTACTTTCTCTCCGGATCTTTTGCGCGGACGTCTACCCGTTAAATATTGACGTTTCTCGCTCACGTTCTTTTTTAGCCCTTTGGATTGCGGTTTAATCGCGCGGTCTAATGATCAGATGCGTGGCTTGGTTTGGGCAAGAGAGATACGAGAACGGACGAAAGGTGAATTTATATTTGGAGGATTCGAAGAAATATTTGGCACAAGCGATATGGATTTTAAGTTTGAATATTTTGGCCCTTTAATCTGAGAATATCGTGGGTATTTAAAAAGATATTTATAAAAATTGTTACTATTTGTCAGTAATTTATAATTTAAATAATATTAATTAGTATTCTATTATATTTTCTTCTTAAAGTTTCTCTTTGGAATATGACAAGAATTAAAATTACAGGAATTCTTGTATATATTATACCGATTTATAAAATTTATAAGGCGCGTTCTAAAGTTTAATTAGGATGAGAGGTGTACTAATTATTAAAGGATTTATGCTTCGTATGTTAAAGGAGGATTATGAAACGTCACTCACCTCAAAGCCCTCGACAATTTGTCGTAATTCATATTAGGCTTGGACTTCCTTTCGCCCCAACGTCTCGCCACCTCGTCAGGGTCAGTCAACTTAAATTCGCCGTTGGTTCCTTCCCACGTAATGCACGCGGCGTTGCTCGAATCCGACAGTAGCTCGAGTAAAAATTGCCAGAGCTGAATCTGACCGGAACCGGAGCTCGCGAGCCGACTGCTCGTCGCTCCGAACATTTGATAGGGATCTACAACAGTTGGAAAGATTCGATTCATAATTTACAATCCTTTTATCTTCATTCATAAACTTTGCCTTGCTTTTTGCCCAAGTGATCGACTCTTTTTTTAATTCTGTCGTTTTTTTTTCAGACTCGATAATCCTAGAAGATGTTAAAAGGGAATATTTAGATTCATTTTCATCTGTGATACACGTATACAAATTTATTTGGTAATTGTTAAGTATATATAGTAAGTATAGGAATGATCCTTTCATTGAATTTTCTATGAAATTGTTTTCCAATAATAGTTGTTCAAGTTAGTTTTAATTAGTTAGTTCTACGAGAGAACTTTTTTGTCTTTTTGTCTTTTTTTGCATATTCTCGTCTATAATTCCTACATTATTTCTAGCAATGACTTGTTCTTCAACTTCTTATGGTATGAACCAATTTTTACCCAGCCGATTCAGCAACGCGCAATTAAAAGAGTTACATTATCATAATATCCGAGTCGATAATTAATAATAATAGCACTTATTAATTATTCCAAACAGTAATAATCTTTACGTATATTTTTCTAAGTCAAGCACGATCGCTAACAGAAAACACATATATCGAATATTTGTTCTAAAATTATTTTCTATATAAGTTTTATTAAAATTATCATATACGGATTTGAAATATTCTTCTGTTGGTCATTGTTCCTACATGGAATTGTTAAATTATTGTGTTTATAATTGCAGGGAACATTCGTGGAAAACGAAGAAGGAGAGCGGAAAAATTGATATTTCTCTACTCGAGGCCACTATAATTTTTTCTTCTTCTTTCGTCGGTATTTCCTCCGAACATATACCTATCCATTACACGGTTGTTTCCCAGTGCTCCCTGTATCGCCCTTTAAAAGCCTTACAATGCGTCATCACCGTCGTTCGCTACTGCTCAGACCTGGAGTGCCCTACAACCGTACAAAAGGATATAATCGCAACCCTACAATAGAATAGAGTTCGTTTGGATCATAATAATTTCAATTGAAGGAACGAACGACGGAGTGGTTCAAAGGGCGTACACGAATGTCTTCTGAGAGAGCGAACACTGTTAAACTGAGCATCGCGTTCCGACCGAGCGTGAGCTAAATGATCAAAATATGGCCCTCGCGTGACAGATGCGGAGAACAATCTTTCTTTGCCTTACCAGGATATTATACGTTTCTATGTTTTTTTACTTTTTTTAATGTATATGATAGCGCTTGTAGACCTAGTACGTACATAATAACAGATGTAGATAATATGTAAAAATCGGTAGTTTAAGTATTAAATTTTAAGCTTGCAATTAGGTTCGGCTTGCTTGATGTTAGTTTGGTTTAATGCTAGTGGACCGTGTAGTTTCATTAGATTTGACCTGCTTTACCTCGTTTTATGAAACTTGCAGAATTTAGAAAGAACTCAGCAGATCCAGGCAAGTCGGACAATTCAGGAGATCCAGGCAAGTCGGACAATTCAGGAGATCCAGGCAAGTCGGACAATTCAGGAGATCCAGGCAAGTCGGACACTTCAGGAAATCCAGGCAAGTCGGACAATTCAGGGGATCCAGGCATGTGAGATGAGAATTCAGTAGATTCAGATAAATCGGACAAGTGAGTAGATTTATACACCTCGATGCAGAAGATTTACAGAATTTAAAGCTGTCAGAATATTTATATAATCCCGCTGTTCCTCTAAAAGTATACATAACATGGAATTTTTCAGGAAGAAGATCAAAAGTATCTGAATCCGGTATTATCGAAAAGAAGAGAAATCAAGAATGAAAATGGAAGAAAATGGAAAGGAATCACAGCAACTGTATAATTCTGACTGTCGTTGGTTCGACTCCCATAAAAATACATTTCAACAGATTATAATAGGGGACAGACGTACACGATGGGGATGGCTGGTGAATTGCCGGACCTCAAAGGTCGTTTCGCCCGATGAATCCCCTGAAACGCGTGGCGGAGTGATCGCCTTTCGATCGAACGGTAATTCACTTACAAGTTAATAATGGGAAGGGGCGCGGTACACCCATTTATCTGCTGAACAGGCTAAAGGGGTTGGGGGAGGGATGAGCCGAAACCGCCAACAGAGATACTGAAACGCCACTGTAACTTTTCAGTATCCTATGTTTTATGAAGCTGCTCGACCAAGAACATGGAGAATTCCATGGACACCGGTGATCCTGTTTCAAGTTAGATCTGCGGAGATTCTTTTCTTCGTTTGGCGGAAACTCAGAATTCTCGAACGAAAATTTACATCGATCTGAGTAGAGACCGTGGTTTCCGTTGGATTCTCTATTCAAACTTTACCTTATGTAAATCAAATTTGACTGACGGTAAAGCATCGACCGGTTGATGGTGATGATATTCTGATTTCAGTAGTGAAAGGAAGAGATATCTGCTTTACTTTTATAATATATTAATTCTATCTATACTAGATACGCTTCGTTCCTTCTGCGATACTTTTTCAAATTGCTCTGCTTATTTAAAGTTTCAATCGAAGTTGTTAGTTCAATTTTTCTGATTGTGTAAAGTGTCGTTTCAATAGATACTGGGTAATGTAAGGAACGTTGCATAAATTACTTTCTAATCATAAATTGGAAGGATAATAGGAGTATCTGATACATATATTAATTACCTAATAAATAATGTATTAATTAAATTCCGCCGAGATGCTGAAAGATATTGACGTATTAATGCAAAGTTAGTTAGTTTAGTCGAATATAAATTTTATATAGAAGTAATCCAATTAAGTACGTCAATTTCTCTTTGTAGAAATAATCTTCTAGTTTTATATAGATTAGATTAGTAGATATTTTATTTAGTTTAATTTTGAATATTTGTAATAATAAGAGCAGAAGCATTAGAAACGGTTTTCGAGTCACTTATTTAAAGCTATTGATCAGTCGGAAAGAGTAATTTTTGGGCGTGGTGCTGAAAAGTCAGGAATGAGGGGCTTTGCGTGATTAGTGACGAACGTAATAATCGTGAAGGTCATTCCGTGCAATTACGTCGAAAATCACCGTCGATTGGGCCACGCGTGAATGTTCGCTCTTTTGTAGATCATGATATGTAATTTTTTAGCTCGCGTGTATCCGTCGATATTCTTTTAATAAGTCAACTATTTTAACTGTTGCAATCTTTGTTAGAATTATATCTTTGTTAGTCTCTAAAGGACAATCGTTGATAAAAATATGATAAAACGAGAAAATCTATTATTGGTAAATTTATACAATAATATTTATGATTAATATAATATTTTCTTTCTGTCTTTGCCGTAGACTAAGAAGATGTAGTGCTTTAACTTCTCAAAAATATCTACCTACTACATACCAGGCTGCCTGAGGTGGGTGTGCGTGTCCAGTGCTGACTTGGATAAGCTGCTTCCGTATCCTGGAAGAGAGTAATTACCAGTTATTCTCAACATATTGTTCCAATTATAAAGACAAATTCATAGAAACTTATACGCTATATCTTTCTCTTAAGGATCTCCTCCTGAAGACGAAAACTTCTAGAATTTAAAAACTCCAGTTGCAAAACTTCGGAGAACGGAGATTTCAAATGTTAAGAACCTGAGAGTTCCAAAACTTCAGGCTCGAAATTTCGGAAAATGAAGTGTCCAATCTAAAGTCCAATCGAAGTTCAAAACATCACCTCCAAAGTTGCAGTTTCAAAATTTCAGAAAGTTCCAAATATTAAGAACTTGAGAAGATTAACTTCTACGTTCTTCACGTTATCCAGGTCTTCTTCAAATTCCTCCGAAAGGTTTGTACACACAAGGTAGTAATAAAGCTTTCTACACAAAACCCAAATAAAACAGATCAAATACTGATACCGATTCAATTTTATACTTTCAAAATCTACATTTAAATCATTCAACGATCACTGTATTAACAACCTGTTATCCTTCTCTAACAGAAACGAGTAGACTTAAGGTCTGTCATTTTGACGAATGTCCTATCCTCGATGAAGATATCGCAGAGAAACGACGTAAGCGGCAAGGTCCGTTAGGAAAAGGGTGCAGGGAAAATCGTCGGTTGGTCGAAGATGAAAAAGTACAAGCTCGGTCGAGCGTTAGAATCCGTTAGAGAGGATTTCCGTGTAGGCAAACACAGGGCTGAGTGGTTCGTATACGTTTCTCCCCGCTTCCACGTTCCACCGACGCGTTGGTTTCTCCATCGCCTTATCAGGCTTTCGACTCCTCTTCCTATATGTGTACCTATATACGTATATAGCTCTGTCTATAAGCCACTGGAAACTTACTAATTTTAAACATAATTCTTATTAAGCATTGAGCAGCAGAATCAAGTTGATGGTTTTCAAAATGTAATAAACATACGTTACTTTATATCAATGAACTTCTAATATAATTGTAGTAATATAATTGTAATAATAATATCGTCTAATATAATAATAGTAATGTATGTATAATTTATAAGGTGGGGAAATTTGTCTAGAATACAATATTTGTCAATTGTGTTTGCATGTAGAAACAAAATTTTTTAAGTAGAACGTTAGTTAGAGAGTTAGAAAATTGAGAGATTTTCTTTAAATCTAGTTCGACTCAGAAAATGTAAAGAAGTTACTTTAATTCACACAGAAGGCACACGCAAGACAGAGAATTCAATTCAATTCAGTGAACGCAAAGAATTTATTATAATTCAGAGAACGAAGAATATTCAATTCAATAGAAAGAATACAAAGAATTTAGCTTAATTCGGTTTCCCTTGTAACGCATACGAACAATAATAAGTAATAACTGTCAACTTTATATTGTAATAGCAAAGCTCATTACTCCTTATCCGAAATGTATATATACGTATATACACGTAAGTGTCCAGTGACTTATGGATAGGAGTGTATATACGTGCAAGTTGATCGAGCAACGGGGAAACATGCCTACCGGTCACGTTCGCGCCACTGTGCAATCTGTTTAAGGCACAATGCCCCTTAATTTCGCCTCGTTATATGCTCTCGTTACGGGAAATCGCCCCTTCCCTGTCGTCGTCCGGTATCGCGTTATCGGTTTCATCTTCTCGTTGCCCCGAAAACCGTGGAAACCTGGTAATCGGCAGGCAATTGGTTCGGCTGATCGAGAAGGTCAGTCTTTGGTATCGAATAGAATAATTGCCACAAAGTGAAGTCTGAATCAACAAACACAAATGATAGTCGATAAAGGCAATTAATACGTCTCTGATGCTATTTTTTTTTTTTTTGAATGATTATGAGGAAAATTAAGGAATTGGAAATAAGAATCGACAATGAATCAACAGGGATGACACGTCTGGTTCCAAATTGTCAGAAACCTGCATGACGAATTGAAGTTTTAGAAGCAAGAAGTGAGCAAGATGAAAACGTGTATGCTAAATAAAAATATGTATGCTATATCCTATTTTTTTTTTTGGAAACGTCAGCTTCGATAAAAGCTAATAGACAGAAGCTAATGGCAGAAGGTTAAATTTCACATATAAAATAATACATTATCTAATGAAGACATTGCGAAACATCATCACAGTAAATGGATTTTGTTTTCCTTTTCCAGTTGACGCGACTGGAGCATCCTGTAGGAATCCTGCAGTTTGATTGTGCAAGGCAGATGCTGCTTCTAAATAGCAGTTGGTGTCCGCTGTGTTAAACAATTTGATTTCGTCTCTGATTGGCACGCGGGAGAATCTTGCACGAGGGATGCAACTCCACGGTCCAGGTCGCGAGGGTCCGCCACAATCAGCGTAGCCGTAGGGCTACGACTTCGGTGGCCTTCCACGTCAAAAGACGAACTCCGACATCCTGATGACACGGAATCTTGATGTTCTGGAATCTGGACTGTATTCGTTTCTCCGTGTTCGAGTAAACGTCATAGATGTGAAGTTCAAACATTGATTTTTCAATTTATTATAGAAGACAGAGTTTTGTTCATGCAGGGATGAAAATGATCGAAATGATACCTTATAGTGTTTTATGATCTTGTAGAGGTAAATGAATGAGGAGATATAATCTGTTTTTTTTTTTTTTTTTGTAGAAGATATAAATTTTGGTGATAAAGGGGTAAAGAAGATTGGAGTGATTTTTGTATCGTTTAGAATTTTGTAGTTGTATGCAAGGTGAATTTTAAACATTGCTTTTGAGAGAAGATTGAAATTTTTACAATAGAGGGATTTGTACTCTTTATAGTTTTGTAGAAATATGAAATATGTACTTTAGATATTGTTTTTTGAAAGAAGAGACTAATGATAATAGAAAGATGAAAGTTGAGATGATTTTCATATTTCCTCTAGCTTTGCACAAGCACGGGAGAAAGGAATTTGAAACATTGTTACTGGAAAAGATATGCCTCTATATTTCAATAGCTTGGCAAAAGTTCATAAGATGTTAGAAAATCAGTTAAAAATCTGCAGCTGGTGTTACGCTATGTTAACAAGCAGCACCTGCCCACTGAGACCTTATTTGCATCCCTGTTCCAGCTGTTCTATCCGTCTACATAAATTATTCTCACGATACAATATCACAGCGTCTAAACTAAACGAAAACATTGGAAAGGCAGAAATGCAAACTTTCAAGTTGTAACGTTCAAGTACCATACATGACCTGTTTAACTGTATCACATAAGGAGAGTCAGCCGAGTCAGTCATACTATACAGACAGCAAGTCAACAAATTCCTTCTGTATGTTGCCTATTGTACAGTCTAACATCATCAGACCACTTTTCAAAGAGGTCTCATTAACTGGCTTTTATTAACCTGTCTAATCTTTTCAGCGGGTTAAACGGAATCTTCAGAGGAGAAACTATGATCCATATTATGAGTAAGACTGTCAAACAATTGAAAATAGTGGAAAGCAAAAGAAGAGTTAAACGTCGAACGAAGAAGTTTGGATTAGATTGGACATTTCTTCGCCACAATATAAATTATTACGTGATGATAAACGAGGTAGCATAAACCAACTTCATTGAGATCGAGTCAACTGTACTTATCTTTAATATACAACTCATATTGTTGTATAGTTGAATGACTATAGTCACCTTCAGTATATCTAGCGTAATTGGAAGTTTGACATTGGTTTTATATAGCGAGTGCTATATAGCGAGTTGATTGTAAGTCATCTTTAGTATATACATCACATGAGTACATTGTTTAATCATAGTCGCTTTAATTAAGATACTAGAACTCTATAATCAGGTATACCCAGCACTCTTACCACGTCGAGTTAATTCGTTAATTGTTTCTTATAGGCTTACAAATAAAAGTCCTCCAAATAAAAGTAAAAATCTGAATTTATAAATTAATTTGATAATCACGTCACTAAATCTAATTCATGTTTACTAATGGTAAGACACTTGATTCCATCTATTATTTAACAATGAAATTATGGCAATATTTATAATACCTGATTTTTTCCAGCACTTTAGAATGGCAGTTGAGATTTAAGAATCATATTGCTAAAGATTGTGTGGTACAGCGTATGTTCTAACTATAAAGTTCAAAGGTCAGTAGCACAGAAGTCATCGACAGTCGTGTACGTCAGACACGTTACGTCACTTCGAATAGACGTTCTGCTATTGTCACGCGTATATCTGCGCATTCACGAGCAATTACCCGGGGTGGGGTAATCCCGTTAGGCGACGTACAGCTTCCACGGGGGAGGATCAAAGGACTCGCTATTCCAAGCTGCTGCACTCTTTGGTTGTTTCAGTCGTCGCTACAATGCTACTGGGGCCTGCAAGAAGGGGAATCATCCACGTCTACGTCGTTCCACGACTTTGTTGGAACTTGGGCAACTTCCTAAGTTCCTTGGGCACACCTCTGTTCAACCAGCGTCGCTACGCAGCTTCGTACAATTATCGTTACTATTCCGTTTCCGTATCTTTCCCATATTTTTAGCCCTTTATATCTGAACTTGCAGTTTCGTTTTTCTGCCACAAGTGTTAACAAATCCTCTTGATACTGTCTTTGCATCGTCGTTGCAATGTTTTGGATGTGCGTTTTGCAATGTGGTAGATTTGCATAATACATCTTGAATTTCTATGGAATTAGAAAATGAGCGGGCTTTCGGATCTTGATGATGTGGCGAAGATTGAAATGGTAAAGAATTCTTACTGGAACTGGACCTATCAGAGATATTTTGCATATTTTGCTCCCACGATTAGTAAAAATATTCAGGTATTTTTATCTCTTAAACTAATTACTGTCGTTTATCGAGACAGAGACATTATTATTATTATATATGCCTGTCTACTTTTATTACAACATCTGTATATTAACATACTTAAATGTATCCACCATTATCAGGAGCAACGCTAATTTTTGAATAAGCGCTGAAGCTTGAAAGGAAAGGTTTATATCGGAAATTAACTTGCATTCGTGAGTACATTCTTGCTGTAATTGAACCTGCCTTTAGGGGCTACATAATTTTCTTAGACATTTCATAAGTACTTCCTGTATACGTGATTTTTAATTATTTTCAGAGAAACTGACGCGGCACACGCTAAATCTTCTGTACTTATACGGTTAGCAGAGAACGTGGCAGCGCGGTGGAAAAATTCTGCAACGCGACACGAGACGGCAATCGCTTAATTGTGATTAATTGCGGTTTTACCAGGAAAAGATCGCGTTGTAACGCGCGGCCCGATTACCCGGCGCGAGTCGTTCAAGCGATTCGCTTGCTCGCGCAACTTTAAAGAGCCAGTTGCGTGCAATGCTTGTTTCCTTACTTTCACGCATCGTATCGAAACTATAGCCCTCTTGATTTCTCAGCCATTCTACTCGATCGTGCACGCTGATCCTTTTTCACGATAACGGTTAAGACCATCCTCTTTCTACCTCTGGCTGACCGCCGCAAATAACTTTATTGCGGCAATTAAAATTATCGCTGTCCCGGTTAAATCATCTGGTATTATAACATTTTTTTCACGATAAGCTTCTTTCTCTTAAACTCTTAGTATATACGTTCATGGAAATGTATTTTCATTATTTTTCCAAATCAACACACGCACTCTCTTTTGGAGTTTACTCTTTTGAAGAAGATCCAATATTCTGCACAAATATTTTCTTTAGGCCTTTAATGCTTCCTAATCCTATTCACCTTACAAGTTTTTCTAGGAACCAGATTAGTTCTATAGATATGTATAAATTGTAGCTTGGCAGCTCTAGTGTTAATTAAACGGTACATGATGTAAATGTCAAATAATCTTGAAATCTCTACGTACAATAATTCTATCCAACTTATAATTCCTCTGACTGCTAAAGTATAACAAAATTTTGCACACATGGATGATTGGCTTTTAAATTATTTTCCAGGAGGCTGTGTAATTATATCATCCTTAATGTTCATGTCACAGGAAAATGTGCCATGAACCGCAATACAATTTACCTGCATCACGTTCAAGATGAATACTTACAAGATGTAAGCTTAAGGTAGATTTATTTCATCTATTAGTCTGTAAAATCCCATTAACCACCAAACTATACATAAGAAGACCTTGCGTTAAAATTTATACGAATTAAAAGTCCAATATGCTTTTATAAGGTACGATGGAAGGAGGAAAGTTTCGATGCCTATTGCTGCGACATCCGGTTTCCGGGCAAGTGAAATGGCGAATGGAATAATTTAATACAGGGGCGATACAAGGGCCAAAGCGATCGGTCTAATCGTGTCTGAACGAGGTTAAAACACCGGCACCCGCCGCTCTTATTTACGTCCGACAATAAGTCAATTCATCACTCTGCGATTTGGCCTTAAGTGGTATCACTGACTCATACACACAGCCGTCTGGAGCGGTGTGCCTATTTCGGGCATAAATCACTGTTGCCCGTGCGGTGCGTAATAATGAACAAGCGAGCGTAGCACGCGACCCTTTAAACGTGCTGGCTGGAAAACGAGTGGCTCGTAAGGTAGCAGGGATTAGCTTTGGTCCCTATGTGTCCCTGCTTAATCCTGAAAACGTTACGGGCCGCGAAATTCTTCGCCAGTATCAGGTCACGTAAAAATGCAATTTTATGAGTACGTAGGTTTACAAACCAGGAGCCAGGCTATGCAGATAATAACGAAGATAAAGAAATGGATTTTTATTGCTTGATACATTGGTAAAGCTAGCGTATAATCAGTTTAGATATTTCAGGAGTGTCGTGGTCGAAGGAATATTTTTAGAACGGTAACTCTAGGATTTGAATTGCGAGGGCAAAATTGTTTCTAGTATGCAGTCGGTGATGCAATTGCGTTTGCTCAGAGAAATAGAAGATACCAGGGAAGATAACGCGAATTAAAGCTTAAACATAAATAATTGCACGGTGCTACGATAAGAATGGTAAGTTGTTGGTAAGCAAGTAACAAATAAATAATTAATCAGCGAAGAACTTGATTGATGATTAGTTCTGTATGTATTAAGGGGCACCATAGGCAGCTGATACTCTGAATACTCTGGTAATATAAAGATGCACGGAAGAAAATGTATTACTGTTACACCAGTTGATGATTAACATAGAAATTAACATAGTAACTAATTATACAAATTCTATTATCCATTGCTACTATTCCGACTTATCAATACCTGAAGTATCTTGTACGATAATATATTACCAGATAATAATATTACTTGAATAACAAATAACAGGTTGTACGTTATAAATTTCTATTGCTCGTTTCTATGGTATAGCTACCTGGCATTAAATAGGACAATTAAACAGACGTTTCTTTACTTATTTTATTATCAAACTTGTTACCATCATGCTGAAACTGAAACGTTGCAGGTCCACGTAAAACCCAAAGTCCTTTACCGGAGCTACCAAGTATAAAAACTATATTGCCGTGGCAATGTAGGAGTCGCGACATTTTAGCCGAATGGCAGCGGGAGACGCGGATAAACCAGGAAGTACGGGGAACCGACCGGATCCGGCGAAGTTCTGGCACGGATTTCGTTCACAGGCTC